TTTTTTTTTTTTTTTTTTTTTTTTTTTTTTTTTTTTTTTTTTTTTTTTTTTTTTTTTTTTTTTTTTTTTTTTTTTATTAAGGCTTAGCCGAATAAAATCGTTTGTTACGTATAATGACAATTAATTTGATTTTGATTTTTTCTCACGCGTATACGAGGAAAATATAAGAAAAATACAAAATTTGATATATGTGATAACAATAGAATTAAATTATTTAGTGGTCGCTATAATACACCATGTATAATATAAATATTTTATACAAAGAATTGTATATATATTTTTATTTTAAAATATAATTGATCGCGCGTACAAGAGTATATCAATAAAATTTCTTTCTCCCCTCTTTTCCATGAGGTTAGCGTAAATAATGGTCAGGTTCAGCGGAGAAAACTGTTCCGCTTCCGCTCCGTAGCGAACGTCTCTGATTGGTACGTTTGTCCGGACCTGTCAAAGATTTAAAAGAATACTTACAATCATGAACATTTACTATGGAGCGGTAGCGGAGCAGTTTTCTCCGCTGAACGTGACAAATGTCGTTATAGACATAACATGATTGGAGTATTAATAAGAACAAAGATAACTAGGATTTCTTTATCATGATTAGTCAATTAAATATACCTACCGAGTAGAACAGCGCGGCGTATGTCATATTCCATCTCTTTCTTCCTTTCTGTTTTACCATCGAAATCTGACTTCATGTTTCGATTTTTTGACATTTATCTTTCGGGGGCACGCGTGATGTTGATTACATAGCGAAGCATTAGGCGCGTTCAGCGGAAAAAGCGCTCAGTGAGCAATCAGCGATTATTGGTTCTTACTATTAGATCTCTAAATCTAGACCATTTTGGAATGTAGCCCTAGAGAGTCTAGACAATTAGCAAAGTTCCAAAATTCTACTCGACGAGTAGGATTGACCAATTAATTAACCGATTAGAACAAAGAGAATTAAAATCTTTTATTCTGTGCTGCTGCGTCATGTAAACAACATGATTTTCTCATTTATACATATCAATTTATGATAAATAATCGACACATATATGTCATTTTCCTTCTTTCCTTCTTCCCACTAATACACGATTAGACAAGGAACGCCTTCCTAGACGCATCGGAGATAATCTAGACCTTTGACTACATAAGTATGGACTGCCAGTTACCCCCACTTTTCCTATTCTTACTATGGCTGCATTCAGTAGACTCAATAGTTGGGCAACATTACTAGATTTTCTACCGAATGACGCTCCGCTCAGTTGTTACATCTCAACAAGTTGAGGGAGCGGACGCCATATTTTGTAGCGGTTTTTATTTACGCTATTTGAGCGGAAAGTGATACAATCTAACATGGCGACGTCTAGTGAGAAAAGTGATGTCATAGAAAAAATATAAGAATATAAAGCAGAGTTATATAAAATAATAGAAAATGCTGATTTTCATACTCGTCTTCAATCAGGTATGTAAGAATAATAATAAATTTTATTATTCGAAACAATTTAATGTAATATATTTATTATTATTAATAATCTAACCTCTCTTTTTGTAATATACTTGCATGTATTACTGACATTACTGGCATAAAAAATATTTTGATTTATTGTTTTGTTATTACTAGTATAATATCTGTAAAAGCTTAAACTAATGGTGCTGAAAAACTAAAGCTGACTTAATGGTTAAAAACAATTATGCCTTAAAATAAAAATGTAAGGCATATTTGTTTTTAAGTATTAAATCATATGTTTATCTTTACTTAATTTGAAGGAAAAACAAAGACAGAGATATAATTTAACTATCAATTAACTTACCAAGAAGTTGGAACAATCGATCCTTAAACCTTAATCATATATATTATTTTGTTAACATTTACAAGAAATATTTATAAGTGTAAGAAATACTTATACATACTTATACATGTAAAAATATTAAATTAACAATAATTAAACTAATGTATTACACATTGTCGTAAGTTCACAAGATAGCTATTCTGCTTAGGTCCTGTATGAACGTATAGATTTCCTGTAATAACATAACATAACTTTATAATGCAATGTTGTTTTATAAATTATTCGTAAGTATTTCAAATTTAATTTTACTGTCAAACTACTCTTAACTTAACCTTATCCGCTTTTATTTTAAAGTAATACATTAGAAGTAGCCATCTTTACTAGTAGCGATATTACAAACGAATCCAGTAGAAAATTCATAGCGGAGTTCGATCCATCGGAAACAGATGTCTCAACTGTTGAGTCTACTGAATGCAGCCAATGAGTGCGTTCAGCGAACTCAACAGTTGCACAACAGTTGAGCAATCTGTCAACGTAATTGGTCTAGATTTAGAAATCTAATAGTAAGAACCAATAATCGCTGATTGCTCACTGAGCGTTATTTCCGCTGAACGCGCCTAATGCTTCGCTATGGCTGCATTCAGCAGACTCAACAGTTGTACAACAGTTGAGTAATTTGTCAATGTAATTGGTCTAGATTTAGGGATCTAATAGCAAGAACCAATAATCGTTGATTGCTCACTGAGCGCTTTTTCTACTGAATGCGCCCTATGTAATCAACATCACGCGTGCCCCCAAAAGATAAATGTCAAAAAATCGAAACATGAAGTCAGATTTCGATGGTAAAACAGAAAGGAAGAAAGAGATGGAATATGACATACCGCGCTCTTTTATCACATTTGATAAAGTGTAGAACCACTTGCAATATAAATAAAATATGTATGTATAAACTTAACACACAATAGTGAAATAAAGGCAATAATAAGTATATAAATAAATAAATAAATAAATAAGTAAATAAATATATATATATATATATATATATATACACATATATATATATATACACATATATATATATATATATATATATATGTATATATATGTATATACTCGTATATATATGTATGTATATATTGCGTATATATAGCATATAAAATGAAAGACCAACAGACTCTGCATAAAATCTGCTAAAAAAAAATATATATATATATATAATAATTATATATATTTATAAAATATATAAAAATTTTATATATTTTAAATATTTTATATATTTAATTTTATATATTTTAAATATATAAAAATTTTTATAACTATAATTTATTTTTATATTATATATTTATATTATATATTATATTTATATTTTATATTATATATTATATATTTATTTTATAATTATAATTTATTTTTATAACTATAATTTGTTAACACTTTCAGGTGCGTCCGTCTTATTAAAAGTGATAAACGTGCAAAGAGTACAAGCACTACGAACACAACTGAGATCATATAAGCCCTGTTCTTTGTAGCTGCACTGCTGAGCCCTTATTCTTCAAATAGTTGCCTAAGTATACCTAAGTTTTATTGCGCAGGTTTAATCATACCATAAAATAGCTGCGCAATGAATATTACGTATACGCAAAAATTTCAAGAATAGGAGTTTAGAACTGGTGCAATATATTGAAGTGAGACAAATATACGTTTTCTCACTCTAACTTATTGCACTAGTTCAGCAGTGCAACTACAAAGAACAGGACTATATATATCACATTTGTGGAAGTTGCCCAATTAATGGCGGCACCAATCACTCGGGCGTATCGTTACGACAATTTCCTTGTCTTTAATCAGTTATTATCGCCATGACCCAATTATCATTATTTATTGTTATTACTGATTATTCGATCATCATTATTCCGTTATTATCCACTCGCGGATATTGTCACACGATTGTCGAGCAGATGTTATTCACTATGTTATTCACTATGTTATCACTACATTTAATATTCAAGTATTATTACTTCCTTATTCGGTTATTATTTAACTATTGCTATTACGCGTAGGAAATCGTTGTAACGGCACGCCCGAGTTGCTTTTTTGTACATAATAGCAATAATTAAATAATAATCGAATAAATTAAATAAGATCTGAATAAAGAAGTAATAATATACTCGAATATTAAATGGTAGTGATAATAATATCTACTCGACAATCGTATAATAATATCCGTGAGTGGATAACGAAATAATGATGATTGAATAATCGGTAATAATAATACCTGGATAATGGCTCTAACAAAAACTCTAGATTCCACAAAGACTAGGTAAACTAGACCACTTAGGCCGCGACTGAGTGGCGAGGGG